CTGTATTTTAATTACATTTTCTCTGTGATAGTTTTGTCGTATATAAGTAGTAAATAGGAAGGACCTCACACGTTTCCATATCATCCCTAGGATAGTACAAAGTGGTGCCTTTCTGTTCTGAGGAAGATTGCTGATATTCCTTCAGAAACAAAGCCGTTAAAAGTCCCAGAACTATTCTGGGCACTATTTAAAGGGAAAAATCCTAGTGTATGTGCTGGTGATATAACTGGCAATTCCATCAAGTTACCTCAACCATCTTACTTTTTATGTGTGCGATTTGAAGTTATAAATTAATTTTACATGTAAAATGATTTTTGTCTGGATGACTGGAAGTTTGGGAGGGGGCAGGGGTGAAAAGTGGATGTAGACATACCAGTAGATAGAATTTAATTTTCTGCAGCCCATGAATTCAAAATGTTTTAAAATCTACAACTGCATATCTTACTTCAGTTAGTCCACAAGATGGACTATAATCTTTATTCTCTGCTGTGTAGGCTGATTGAGCGTATGTTGTGTGTTACAGCTGAAGTTGCGCATCTTACCAGAATCAGTCCACAAGATGGATTACAATCTGTATCCGCTTCTGTCTGGACTAGTTGCTCTGCCACGGTTGAGGCTCACCATTTCTGATGAAATTGATATGCCCATCAGGCAGCCTCAGCTGACCGAGTTGCTGGACCGATCATTACCATCACATGTATTTGTTATGGTAAGTACGTCGGTTGTTATCGTGTATGTTTCTGTTGTCACGTTCATTCTCAGTGTCATATTTCCAGTGCAAGAACTGGAAGGAACATTGAACTTTACCATTATACGGAAGGAATATTAACCGCTTTATAATAATGTACACTAGAAAATATAATTTTTGGATGCCTTAACTAACCTTTAAAAAAAATCCAAATATTTTAACAGAACTATTTTCTGTATGGTAAAAGAGTATCAAGCTTTTCATGAACTTACATTGATCCATCCAATTGTGAATGATAGGACAGAATGGAAAAAACTCGTCGAACAAGCTAAGACCCACATAGGGTTATAATGCTACAAGAAGAAGACATTGATCCATCCAATTGTGAATGATAGGACAGAATGGAAAAAACTCGTCGAACAAGCTAAGACCCACATAGGGTTATAATGCTACAAGAAGAAGACATTGATCCATCCATGCTATTTCAAACCTTTATGTTGAACTGCAGCATTTGTAACATTCCTCTGCTTCGTAGAATTGAGAGTGAATCGTGACGTGCACACCTGTCCCTTCATAATGAGTGTGTCTTACTAGAAACTTAATTAAAAATTTATACTAAAAAATTTGCACATACGGTATGAGTTGAGAACCATACATTTATCAAAAATTAAATATATGAGTTTCTGTATGCCGGATTTGTTTTTCTTCTCTTTTGGTATTCACAAGTAAATGAGTTCTCTGAAACGTCTTTACTTATGATGCTAATATTTTCTCTTTGCTTTGCAGCCTCAAGGTAAGGGAAATCCAGTTGCCATCAAGGTTGTGTCATGAAGAGTATAGGTAAGCACAATCTCACATAGATATTGGTATAATACACTTATAAGATTGAAATTTTCTGTAACTTCTTTCTCGTCTAAAATGAAAACTTTTGTATAAAACAATTTTCCAAGTTTTGAACATAATACTCTCTTGAAAACGTGTTGGTTTGTCAACCATTCATAACTGAATATTTGTTTTCCAATGGGCCAAATGTAATGAGCAATTAATTTGTTCGATCACGCATTCAAAAATTAAACTCGTTTGGGTGATTTTCTGGTAGTTCAAGCTTAGAAATTGAACCAAAGAATAAAGAACATTTTCAATAAAAATAGACATTTCAGTCTTCCAAACCTTAATTCATTTATAGTTCGACTTCCGTGAGTTGGCTTTTTGAAGGCTCAGAGAGAATTTAGTTGAAGAATTGATTAACTATTTGGTGAAGATGTGGAGCTTTTTGATGATTTGTATTTAGAAGAAGATGCAGTTGAACTCTGAGATGGAGATGTTCAGTTTTGTTAAAACATCTACACAAGGAACATTCAACAAGTGCTGCTAGGTAGCTCAGTGCAGATGATTCAATTCTTTCCCCTTCGTTGGAAATTATCAATGATGTAATATGGCCTGGTATAGATGATGGACACCAGCGATAAAAACAAAATTATAAATAAGCTGATATTTCTGTAAAATATGTATTAATGAAAAATCAAAGTGTAAAACATTTCGTATTTACTGTTTGACTAGACAAGGTCTAAATCACTTTGGTATTATCATATTAGTGAAAGCACTAATAAAAGTATGGATCTATTCAGATTGTCAAATAACCATCGTTATTAAGAACCTCAAAATATATGTTTTTGCTGTCTAGATTCTTTTCAGGATCATTTGTTTACTAGCCATGTTTTCCCTCGTGTCAGGATCACACATTATTTGTAGAACTGAAGGAAAACTAGAGGAGAGTGTTGTTTTGAACAAAATCATGCAAAATTTTCATTATTTTCTTCACATGTAGGTTGTTACATCAACGTTCCTTCTTAGCAGTGTGGAAGACATGGCCATATCACTTGTTGGAGTAGCGGAATCACATGACATTTAGGACACTGATCTGTACAAGTGAATTATTGTCTGTAACTTAAAATGTGCATATTTACTGGCAATATTGGAAGCTTTTCAGCACTGTCTTGACTTATTCTACATCAGTACCACATCTGGTTTTGATATAGACCTACACATGTATATTAATAATAATAATTTTGGTTCCTTGGTCTTTCATTGTTTATATACTTTCATATTTTGATTTTTGGCATTGTTTTTTTCCTCATACTTCATTAACATGCTGTCTGTTGAGCAGTCGTCGTCATTCTCCGATTTTTTTATATATTTGCTCCGTGAATTGCTTATGCATACTAAAGGAAAAAAGGTATGAATCCAGATACCATCATCAGAAAGATGTCTAGGAAATTTAATCCACCATTATTAGCCTGCACAAAAGAAATAATATTTTACATTATGTAACATCAGTGTTCATTCTTAGCTGAGGCTACATACTAGGTTCTTAATCCTGTGTAGATCTGTAATTATTTATGACAGTTGTACATTATGATTGACATATTAACTTTACATCCTATAGCCCCCTCCCCCGCCCGCATAGGTTTTGAATTAAGCGAACGGAGGTAGAGCCCATAGTCTAAGCTACTTGAATAAAATAACACTAGGCCTTTAGTTTTGTTAATGAATTGAAAAAATATGTATTTTAATGAGATCACTGGACTTAATAGTATCTACAAACATACAATAAGTAATAAACATTACAAACACAGGTCATGCAGAGATTAATTAAAACACTCGTAACTCATTACATGTCATGCAGGTACACAGGCTATATAAACAACAAAACAAAGACAAAAATCATATTTAAAATGACCATATACTTCATGCTAGTCCACATTATTCCGTCACTTCCCGCATCTTCAACAGATAACAGTTTTTCTGGTTTATGACTATCTGCTTCAGGTGTATTAGAAAGCTTTACAAAGTCTGTGCTGGTTAGGGTAATTTCTGTGAACAGAGCTGGTGAAAGCGTGTGACCATTGGTCAATCCTACCATTTTCTGGGTGGCTGTATAGTGCACCGTTGATGCTTCATCAGGTGGATTTGTGGGAAGTAGAACTTGATCACTTACCACCGTTGCCTTTCGTACCACTGGCGGCATGTTTACATCGAGCCAGGTCGGAGTTAAGTGTTTTTCCAATCTCTTTTGGGGAACTGTGAATTTAATTGTTTGTGGCTCATATCCTGTTGCTTGAACCTGCGAGAAGTCAGATTTCAACCATTTTCATCAATTCATAGCCTTCAAGATATTCTCAAGAATACTTAACTTTTTTTTAAATTTTAATACTAGAACTGGTAGCTGTGGCATAGAATATACAGTTGTGCCAAAAATAACATTGATTTTTAGTGAATATGAATTGTTCTGTTAAATGTATTTCTACACAAATAATCAATTATGAATCAAAGACTACGCTATATGTGATACTTGTGAATACTGTGTTTCAGTTCATGAGTATGGCTATGCAAATCCATTCCCTTCTTCTCCATCAGAAAACAAGGTTGTAGTACTATGCAAGAAACAGGTGCGAACTTGTAACAATGCAGTTCAGCTGCCAGTGCCCTCTGTCATGCAGCTTTTGAACAGACTGAGCTGCTGCTGCATATCAGCAGACCTCCACTGCATTTATTGGTCACTCACAAAAAGAAGAATTTGACTCGGTGCCTATCCTAGCAAAAAGACAGTATAGGTATACTTAATTTAATAGTTTTATCCAAATAAGGTGAAGTCTTGTTAAGAGTGTGTAAATACTGCTCACCTGAAGTTGGTATGTGCCCGGGAGTAGGATCCTCCAGAACTCCCCACGAGATGATGTTCGGAAATAGCTGTCTCGTCCCTCAATTTTTAATCCTGATGTAAGTACAGGCTGATGTGTGTTGTTGTCTCGGATAACTCCTCGAACACCTTGATGCGCTTGGCTTATATATTTCAGTAATGCCTATATAAACAAATGAAAATTATTTGGTAATGTGTTAAGCTATTGGTTCTCTAACATTTTTTTTACTAACATAACAGTTAGCCCATTTCCCCATATTTAGGGGGTACTGGCTTTGTTTTTGTGCCTACAGACTATCTCTCCTGACAGGATATTCATGTGTTTTCATGAATCCATCTAGGCAGATGTGGGTCTGATACCTTACCATTTCATCTTTCACAGTCATCCCATATGGCACTACAAAACCCATACAACTGATAAAGTGTTGTTAAATAGACTAAGAAAATGAAAATTATTTAGTAAACATAGATTATAGTCATTTAAGGGTTAGGATAATTGACTGAAATGCATACGTACGTCTCTGTTGTCGTCCCATAGTGTAGGCAAGTCGTGCGTAAGTGGATATTTACAACAAGAAATCTCCAGTGTGATCTCCATACAACCGTGATATATATAGTTGTAGTCTTGCATTCCACCTGTGAGAAAGAAATTGTTTGCCTTTAGGCTTTGCCATGTGGCTCTTATATGGAGAATCACCCTTTATGTCAGAAAATATTTTATGGTTTAGTCACTTCCAAAAATAGAGCAATGGTAACTTCAATCAGATCTCAGTCATGTGCCCTAATTCCTCATCTTACAATGAATGCTTCACTTCAAATTCATTTACAGCCAACCCATCATGTGAAATTTTGTAACCAATGCAGTTTAAGAAATTTAAATAAACAAAAAATCAATACACAAAAAGTGTTTTTAACTATATTCTGTTTAAAGGATCAACATTTATGAGAATATAAAATTTTGATCAGGCTAATTAAAGTTGTGGATATAGCACATGCAGTGAGAATGTTATTTAACATTCGTCTCTGAAGTCATAAGGTTCTTGAAGTCTGTAAATGTCTGACATGCTCTCCTGTTATACACCCAATTTTTCTCCAGTATTCAGCGTTTACAGAATATTGTATTAATACTTGTTTTACGATGTTGGAATCAACACTGAAGAATTCGAGGCCACTCTTTATAAATAGGTACAATAGTATATAGTCCATCTGCCGTGGCATTTATTCCTTATTTGAAACAGTGAATACGTTTGTAGGCTTCAAAACATGTTTTCTATTAATTAAATTAAAATCTGTCCATTGATACACTTACCTGTAAGTGGATACCAGGCTGCTCCATTAGTTATGCCACCCTGAAACTCCCTGTCCATTCTATTACATGGATATCCGAAGTGCATTGTTGGGTGGGTTGAAGCATATACTACTGCCAGATGCTGAAATACATCATCGTCTGGTGATATTGATGGTGGATATGGCTCCCTCATATCTGCTGCGTAAGCAAGTTTACCATTAGAAGCTGAACATGCCTTTTCATCTTTAGAAACTAAATACTTTGTGTCAGATGTTACTACTACTTTTGTATAGAAATGTTACCAGTTGTCAGTTTGGTAACATTTACTTCTGTTGAATATACTGACAGTTCAGGAGATTTCTAACAAACTATGGCTTATGCCTTCATGCATAACTTTTAACTGTGACTGGTCGGTGTGCCGTCTCCTTGCGTTTAACCTTTATCATACAGAAATAGGGGATTTAAACCCCTGTAGTATGGGGTTGCTCGCTACATTTTAACTTCATGGTTAATGTTTTGGCAGCATGCTACTGTGATGTGTGGCGTGCTGGACCATGCACAAGCCATACATAAGCCATGATGCATAGATGATAATGGTTTATATCACATTAGGGTATTAATTTCTGCATTGTAAATAAACATGTTTAGACCTTTTTTGTGCTGTACATTGTGAGAGAGAGGTTGTTAGTCCTTGGTAACGCTTTAACACTTGTGTCAGAATACTTACCTCGCCTTTATGTAGATAGCTGACAAAAGGGGTACAGATAATGAAATGTTGGGAAGCAGTGGCTACAAACACACGTCTATGTTTCCAAGCATTAAGCGGCTTTGATATGAAATAGATTTTACTTTATCAAATTGTTATAATTAGATGTATATATCCTGGGACTAGTCAGTCTCTATCACATATCTTGTATCTTCTCTAATTAAAGAGAGAGAAAAAGTGTCACTAACAACGAAGACTTGGAAACACTGTGATGGTTATGGACATTAAACAGATCATTCATGAATGCCTTATAATTTTGTGTCATACGATGCCACTCATCAGGTGATCATATATCATGGGGGACCAGACTCAATTGTAGGGTGATCGAGTTTGTTTTTGGTAGGAAAGTGCCACTGGGGTTGATGTTTGACTGGGGAAAACTGTCGAAATTTCTCTTGCCAATCATCATTCCATCAGGTGAGATTTCACATTCTCATAGTGATGAGTATGAAGACGGCTGTCATCTGGAATGTTGCACTGCATAGTCTGGTAGATACCGACCCAACATTTCAGGAGCTTACTGCCTCTGTCATCCTGTTGATCAGTATATACCAGATTACACAGTACAACATTCCAGAAGACAGCCATTTCTTTCATTCCATCAGTGCTCCAAATTCATCAATCGCCGTCCCCGAGGTAACATACTTGTCCTGCACTTGGATGGACTCAGAGCAAGGACGTTTTATTCATTTTTGGATATTTCAAGTTTTTTTAATTTGATGGTAGACTGTGAACCATCTGTTATAGTTAACCTGTAATGTCCAGTGATAAGTATGTTTTAATAACCAGGAACTCTACATTTTTCCAGCAGTGTATTCATAGGTTTTATATGATTCTCAGTGTAATAATTCTTTTAAAGAGCATTAACCAGTTGATATTTCTGTTGGAGAAGTGTTGTGTGTTTGTTTTAGGTGCAGAATGAATTCTTAAATACAATTGAGATGAGCTTCTACTTCAAAGGTTCAAACGATAGGATGAGTTTATTTTGGAGAGTGAAATTAAATTTAGAAGTCGCTGAAATCAGGAAAAAAAAATTGTGATATAGCATTCATTTCAACATCAATCCTTGTCATCCTTAATCCTTGATAAAAGTGCTTACAGCACCCATTGTCTGCAGGCTGTGAGGACAGCACGTGAGAATATGAGGTAAGGAAATTCTGTTTCCACATGTGGCAAGAACTCCCAGTGATAAATAGATTATGATTGGATAGGTTGTCTAGAACCATCACCAGCTAAGGAAAGCACACAACAAAGACATATTAAGATTTGTTCAGACCAGGAGGAAGGTGACTCCAAGGAGACATCTTGTTGCTGAGCTCAGACGTATTTAAGAGACGGTAGGCTGCATCCCAGGCTGTGAATGGAATGTGATCAAAACCCTGATTGTATCAAATGACATCGTGTAGTTAAATAAAATACAATAATAAAACTAAGTAGCTAGATTTACAGAACACAGATTATAATATTGAAGTTCATCATTTGACTATATCTCCTGTTTGTTGCATTTTTATAGATTATTTTATGAAAATTACGCTAGAAATAAAACTTACTGTTCTCCATAACATTCTCATATGGGTAATTAGCAACAAGTGCCCCTCCATGTAAGCTGGCTGATAGCACAAAGGTGTTATTAGATAACCAGTCTTCTATTGCTTGCGTTTCATATTGCCGTGGCTTTGTATTGCTTTGGAAGTGGTCCGGAAAACTTCGATTCAGATCCACAAACCGGGCATTTTCCCTGCATGTCAACAGATTAAACTGCTGCCATAAATGCATAGGACATGAAGTCATTAAAAAGTACCTATATTTACAAACTATAATTCTTTTTTTATAAATGATTATTTATTAATTCAGTCATGCTTATACTGCAAGTACTACTGTAAGGACCATTTTCAACATTTTAGGGAAGTGATTTAAAATAATAATATGATTAGGATTCTTATCTGGCTACAAATAGTTTATTTTATAGCTAAAAATTTAGCACATGGAAAATCCTGTATAAGGAAAGTGAAAGGTCCCCCAACAGGAAAGTTTTGTATAAAATTTATTTGGAAAACATTATATTATTATACATTCCTCTTCGTGAATTATAATTTTTTAAAACTGCTGTTTGCGAAGTACATTCTTTTATTTTATGGATTGACCTTTTCTAGATATCCTTGATTGTTGGTAGTTATAATTTTTTTTACATTTAGGTTCTACTGTAGAGGGCTGAGAGAAGGTAGATGGTGGATGTGATGAAATTAGTGAGAAATTTGTTGCAGACACTGATTCTCGTTTGGTTGCAAATAAATATAATTATAGTGACAGTGAATCAATTATTAATAGCAGTAATAGTAGCAATGACAATCTTTAAGCAGCAAGAGAATATGTTAATACCTGTGGTAAATGGTATGTCAAAAAGAGGGGTTATGTTTTCATAAATTCTGGTGATTAAATAGTGGTGAATGTTTCCAGGACATTTTCTCTGTATCAATCTTTCATCAATACAGGTATGTGTGTTAATTTAGGAATTATATTAAATTATCCAATATCACAATGAGAGGAAGAATTTTCAGGAAGGGTGAACATTGTCATAACATTAAATGTGCAGTAGAAAATCTGGATAGCCCTTCAAGAAACTTGAGAAATCAAGAGGTCAGTCTGTTTAGAAGCGTATTGTAATTGGTCAGGTATAACTGACTGTCAAAATTTGTGATACTGAATGTTTCCTTAGATGTCTATACTTTTTTCAGTTTAACAAATAGGTCCCTATCATTACATAACCCAAATGTTTGTTACAGTTACCATTGGACTGTATCCTCAGCCATTACAATTAACTGCATATTGTAACCAATTTCTCTAGTATCTGTTTTAATCATAATGTACTCCCAAAAGACTTTGTTGCATGAGCTCTGTGTTTTATAATTTGGGGTGTATATATCTTGTTTCTACCTAACCTCAAATAATGCCAGATAAAAAGTATGAAGTATGGAGTTTTTCATAGTGCTGTAATCCCCCTGTTATTCAGTTGTCATATTCCCAAATAATTTCCTATATTACAGTGAAGGGAAAATCAGCTGAAAAGGAATACTGGTACTAACCTGCCAGGGCCTATTTCACATTTCCCTTCTACAGAAATCTCAAAGCCATCTGGGTTGAGACTGGGCAAAACATGAATCCTGGTGTTCTCCAGTAGCCAGTGAACAGTTTCATCATTGGTGTAGTTTGTCACGAAGAACTACAGACACAAAACAGAACAAGTACAGGAAACTTGAGTTGCACTTCATGCAATATTGTACAAAGTTCAATATGCTTACAATTACTGTTCAGTTACTGTCCTCTTCCTTTTATGACTAACAGTGATTTTGTAACCACAGAGTAAGATTTTCACTTGTTCAAAATCAGAAAACTGGGAAAGTGTCGCACACTCTGATACTTTAATCTTTATTAATCCACATTTACCCAAAAATTTTACATTAAATAGAAACAAAATATACAGAACATTAAACAGTTTCTTTCGGTGTCAGGAATAAAACATTTGTTAATTGTTTACATAATTGGCTGTCTGTGCATTAAATGTATACATAGCATCATTTGTTGTTCTGTATGGAAATGTATGTATTGTACATTTCACTGCACTGTAATACAGCTAAAGCATTTATTGACTGTCAGGGTTCTGAAAGTATTGAAGATCTTCGCCCATTTTTAATCTTTATTCATATTTTCTCTAATTTAAATAAGATGCTATCAAATTTCAAGGAATAGTACTGATGACTGCATTAATAAGAATGGTAATACCTGAATTAGATGAAGGAGAATCTCTCTTCCTGCTGCTTCATTTCCATGAATATTTGCAATGAGTTTCACACTGGGGATGCCAAAACTTGATTTTGGGGCAGTGCTTAACTCTAGTACCCATAGTTTATGCTCTGAAAGAGAACAGATTACGTCATTGTGATTATGTTAGCCTGGTGTCTATTTCAATTGGTACCGGGGCACCAGGATTTCCAGAGTACTTAGGTTTTACCAGTGTCCCATATTTATATTTAAATCCTGTGTTTGTACAGTAGTACAATCGGATTCAGTCTTACTCCACTTCTACCATAATATGTGTATAGTCATGATGAGACATTCAAACCTCTGCCTCCATCAATATTTAAATTAATTTGGTATGCAGAATGTATCTCCACAGTATTGTGACCGTAAAACAAGACTAGTTTTATAAAAATTCTTGTTACTTTAGATACTTACTACGCAAAGTTTCTCCTATGGAGTACAGACGCGTCATGTTTGGATATGCTGTGGCCATGTTATGCAAATACTGGCTCAGGGCACTGTAGTTGTGGTACTCAAAGTTAAGTATGGGAGTAGAGTATACTCCCACAAACAGTAATATTGACCACCACAGCCACAATTGTTTGCTGTCAACCAGCATAATTCATTGGTATTGCTCACTGGTGTGACATAACCTAACAAAAATGAAATGCAATTATTAAACCAACATAAAATCTAATTTAACACCATGGCAAAGGGCATTTCTTTAAAAGTTAATTTCCAGAGGTCCATTACTGTGTTCAGTGGACCCACTTGAATCTAGTGCACACCCTCACTCACATTTTTTAAAAGATCCATTTTAATACTATTCTCCCATGTGTACCTAGGTCTTGGAACTTGTCTCTTTCCTTTTAGATTAGTCTTTGTTTGAACTTCACATCTTTATCAAGTATTACTAGGAAGCATGGAGGATGAGATGAGCAAGACATATAGCATGCATGGAAAGTTTAGATGTGTACAAAATTTTGGTAAAAAAAAGTGTGGATCGAGACCATTCAAAAGACTGAAGTATAGATGGGACAGAAATGCTTAAATTAATCTTAGATAGGGTGGGAGGGTATAGAATGGATTTATTTGGCTCAGGATAGGGATCGGTGGCAATTTCTTGTGACGATGATAATTAACCTTGGGGTTCCATAAAAAGTCGGAATTTCTTGTCTGTCTGAATGACTACTAATTTCTCACAAAGGAATCTGCTTTATAGAGTTACTAAATTTTTTCATCCGTGCTTTATAGCCTGAGCTACTGACAACATCGTTAATTAAGCTTCAAACAAAAAATCAAGAGCAGTGAAGCAAAATCATGATGAATGTGCTTGTAAATATGAATATTCATAATACACCACATACAAATAAAACCACGTTGCTTTTCAAGGTAAACTTTAATGTCGTGTTCCCAAAAAGTAAATACATTGAACATAAATAGAATAAACTGGTATCTTATCACGCAGTGTAGCTGTAGGGGCAGGAAGTGGTTGAGGTATTGCTTGTGTGGTCCAGCAGAGGCAAGGCAAGAGTTGATGCAATTGCGGCTTATTATCTTGCACCGTAGAATGGAATAGTCAGACCAGTACCTGCAATGTCAGTGAATGCCAACATATAACAGGAAAACTTTGTCGTTTTTCACTAATTATAAGGAGGGTTGTTTAGGAATGTGATCATAGGTCTACTGGGGTGATACTTTTATCATTATTCTAAAGAGATGGAAAAATAAAAAATCGAAAGGGATAGTGGAATGAATTAAAGAAAGGGTGTAGAACTAATTCCCCGTTCAGTTTCAACGGATCGTTTCCATTAATTGTGAAATACACATCAGAATGTTCTGATAGCTTCCTTCAGGTCAGAGATAACTTGTCTCAATTATTACCGTCAGCTGCCGAAATAACCATCTGCCCATTCTGTTCGTAACTTTTGCTGTTAATATAACGCCCCTAAATCATAGAATTTTTGGAAAATAAACCTGTTTCACTAAGGCGTATAAGAGGAGTGGAGGTTAACCTCGGCACTCGATGGGGTTATGAGTCAGCTTCCTTGCCATTTAGAGGGTAGGCCTCAGGCCATGTGGACTTGATGACAATACGCGGTCTCCGCTTACGTCGTCATTTATCCAGTTGTTATAATTCATGACCTACGAATTAACGCGGTGTCTGGCCACGTGCGCGGGTACCCGGCCCAGGTGTTTTGTATCGTATGCTAATTCGGGCGTTTGACCCAATTACGTGTTGCATGCGGGTAATTTGCTAAGGATAACAGAGTGTCGTTTTTGACCCACTTCTAGGGCAAAGACCTCGCAGTTTGATTCCGATTTACGCAGGGCTCGGTCACAGTGCGGCACATAAGCAAACCAATCTCATAAATCCATTATAAGAACTGGAGGGGGAGGGAGGTTGTGGTCTGAAGCTAATGGGAGGTCGAGTCGACGAGACACCCGAGATTGTAGGCCCGAGCTATAAATCTGAGTTTTCTAGCCACTTTACTGAATTATTAATTATTATTTACATGATCTTTGACAATATAGGGTTAAAGAAATTTTCAGTCAAAAATTCGTGTTGCGTAACAAAAATCATGATTAAATAACTAGACAACTGACTGCATCGAGCAGAATTCTTCTTCAGATTCTGATAGTCGCTGGCAAAGAATTCCCCCCCTCCCCCACTTTTATGGAACCCGGAAGGTTCACTGCCATGTTAATAAGAATCCGCCACTGGACCCTGTAATGAGCCAAATGATCCTATTTCTGTACGTTCAATTTTAATGCGCCTCGGTCCTGCAACTGGACTCTTTCCATCTAAAATTATGTACGCAGTTCTTGTCTCCCCGTGCGTGCTACATTCCTCGCCCAAGTCATCGTTCTTGATTTGATCACCCTAATAATAACTTCATTCTTTTTAGGTTCAAATATTCTCTTCTTCTGCGTCGCTGTTTGACGTGAGAGACAACCCGTACTAATCAACGGGTAACATTGTTTTGTATATTTTGACTTTTTACGTTTTTAGATAGTAGACACAAAGAGTCCTGAAGGCTTACAGCCTTTCTTTTTGGATTTTTTTTTTCGATGTGGTACGAATTATCACATTCTTTTGTTTAAAGAAAAATATTTATAGGGCTCAATTTGAAGCTCGTGGACAGTGGCGGTTACAAGTGTGATCTACCCGTCACACTTATTTCATGCACTCGGTGCAGAGAATAAATGGTAGAGTCTACTTACCAAATTATCTTGACATTTGGCGACTGTGTTCTGTTTACGTTGGTCTTGTATGATGATGTCGCGTGCCAACCGTTACGCTCACCCCAAGCCAAGGAACTGGGATGAGATGGCGCTGTTCCCTTGCTGCTGGCGATATCCACAACAAAGGAAACTGGTGCCGAGCGTGGTG